CGCTGCGCGGCTGCGAAGGGGCCGCGAGGGAACCGCGCACCGTGCAGTAGCGCCGACGAGCGGGCGAAGATGTGCACGGCGCACCAGTTTCTTCCCAAAATTTTGAAATCGAAATAAATTTATAGTGGCATTGAAGTGTTGGCGCTGCAGGCGGTGGGTTCCTTTTCGCACGGGAGGAGCTGCAGCAGAGAGGCGCCAGGCAGGCAGCGGCGCCCAGGGCCCAGGAGCGCGGGGCAGGGAAAGCCTCCGCTGCCAGCACAGCTCTGACTCGGCGGCCGTGCTCCGGCACTGCCTGCATTGCTTTTAAAATCACACTGCTAAAACTGAGTTTCTCCTTACTTCAGCACCTGTAATTCATTTTAACTAATCAGTACCATTAATTAATTTTCAGTACCATTACTGATTTCAACTGATCAGTACCATTCTGCCTTTGTGCATGAACACCTACTGCCATTCGACAGCCAAGGGTGCCTGGATCATCACAACGCAATATTCTGGCGCTTGCAAACACCTCACTTAAGGGATCTTGTCTAGGAAAACCCCACTCGCTGCCGAGTCAGCGCTCAAAAAGCCCCCAACGCTGGCAAGAAGGATACCCCAGAGCGAGCAACTGGGCCAGCGGCTCCCAATGCTCAGACAACACAGAAGTCATCAACACCGGAAAATTCCTGGACCTCCCGTCTCTTAGCATTCTTTGCTTTAAAACTAAGCCTTCATCCTCCTCTCAGTCCAGATGCATGCAGCCCTCTGCATGCGGAAGCTGGGATTTACCCAAATTCATCCTTTGTAAGGCCTTACTAACAAGACCAGGCTTCTGCAGTGACCAAAATGCTCTGAAGCACACTGCTGTTCTGCAGCGACTCTGATTTCTGAACGTTCTGAGGAACACATGCATTTCTTTAATGCCACAATACAGGTTTGATAAGCTTTAGAAACTGCCACAAGAACATGGAGTTACCAAGAAAGGTTTTATTCTTTTTGCCAGTAGCTTTGTTAATTGCACAAAAAAATCCTTTTGTTTTGCCATTTAAACATTTTCACACATCCTATTCTGAATGACAAACGTTAATTAAAAACAAGGCAAAAAAATAAAAATTCACAACCTTAATTAACTATAGGATCTATCATTGAGGAAAAAAGAAACTGCTTCTCACAAGCTTTTCACAAGTGTCACATTTTCTCTTGAAAAAGGAGGGAGTCAAAAAAAGCAAATTGCTAAAACAGAAATCTTCATAAAAAGGAACTTTACAGAATTGTCAACAATATTAAGACAACATTGACTAGCCAGTTTTATTAGAGCATCTCTCAATCCACAGCTTCCCCCCCTCCCCTCCCCCAAATCTCAGGCCTAGGAACAGATTTAAGATCCGCGTTCAGAGGCTACAGACATAAATACAAGAATCCAAGCGAGACTGACAACGAGTCAATCTCAAATGGCATCTGAAACAGTCTGGTTCTCACCATTTCCATCCCTCCTCCTAACGCCACATCCACTTCAGAGCTCTGGGTCTCCTTCTGCTCCTCCCTGGCCTATCTGCGATTGTACCTGGGCTGGGCAGCACCGCACCCTCCAGCCACTCCACATCCACCTACCTTGCCAGAAAGCTGCAGTCAGACTTTCCCAGGATAAATTACAGTGTTGAACTGGTCTGCACCTGCCACTCCCACATAAATAACAATCTCCATTGTGAGAACTACAGTATTTCTGGAAAACAAAACCTGCAGCAGTGAGTTGCTTAGGGAGTGGCCCTCCCCTCCCTCTCGCAAATATGGTTCTTTGAATTCACTATGAAATACACACCACAGGACTTCAGAGCTCCTTTTGTATTCTCACTCTGTCGAGGCACCACAAAGCACAAAAGAGGGAGATCCTCCATTACCTTTGCTCAGACCCATTCACCTTCGCTCCGGCCCAAGGGACTGCCACGAGGACAGGGTGGGGACGCCGCTGCTCCAGCTCAGCAGCTACACTCTCAACCGGACCCAAGACAGTACCTCCTTCTTCTAAAAGATTTCTTGCACTCTAAAACCTGTGGTCTCATCTCCTGCCCCCCAAACCCACAATTTCCCCCAGATGCCCTCAATACACAATTCATGTAAGTGATTTCTTAACTGCGGCATGTTTAACCAAGGACTTCTGACACTAATAGCTGAAGAGTTCTCCATGGGGGAAGTGCACGTGTGTCAAAAGCAAGCTAATGGCTGGGTATCCTGGGTAGTTATATGTGCCTTTAATATGAGTATCTACATGCAGGATGACAGTTGCACTACCAAAGAAACATGTGTGTATAACTAGTATTGTTCACGCATACCACTGACAGACGGGCAAAGTGATGTCTAACAGATCTATTACTAGATGTCGACCACTGGACATAATGCATAACACAGTATTAGCCCACAAATGATAGTGATCACAGGAGATGAAATATTCAACAAAGTAACATTTACAGCATTAGGCGTTAGATGTCATGATTTGTAATGAGTATCTGATACTTTCTTAATAAGGCGCCCCTGAACCATACGCACATGCTGCACAAAGCAAGATTGGTAAGAAATCCTAGCCCACAGGAAAATTTCCAAACCCAGCCATTAAGTTCCTAGAAAAATAAGATGGTGGGAGGGGCACACCTCACAGATTTAAAGGAACATGATCTAATTTGAATTTGCTTTCTTTCCTTTCAGAATCCCAACCCAAGGGAGGAGATTGTGCCACTGAGAAGTGATTTTGGCCAATAAATTTTCTTACTGGCATTTTATTAACTCTCAACTCTAAAATGCAAGAACCCTCCTAAAAGGCTAATACTGAGAACAATTAAAATAAAATAAAACCCCAACCCCATACTGTGCATTTTTAGAGAGACAGGCATCCTTTGGACTCTGGGTTGCTCTGCCACCAACACCGAGAGCATCTCTGCTCTCTCGCCTTGGCATCTGCAGTTCCAGTCCCAAGTTTCTAGACTAAAGCTCAGCGGATGTCGTAGCCTCCCATTTTATTTACTAGCCTTTCCAGAAGTTGGTATCTGGCCGCAAGCAGAGTCACAGGTACAGGGAAAAGTCTCGTGCTGTGTGTGCTATTGTTGCACCCAAAGTAGTAACATGAAGAACATGTATGGAAAATCTGACGTGTATGAAGATCACTAATCAGTACACAAAAATATCCCTGTGAGGTAGGTAATCATCACCCACCTTTTAAAGATGGGCAAACAGGCTGACAGATATAATGACCATGCAAAGGCCAGAGAGAGCGAGCGTGCATGGAAAGCAGCTCAGGATTCTCAATCTCTTGGCTCTACGATCATTCTTCTCGCCCCTTTCAGACTCACCACTCTGCTTGTGACACTGCTACAATCCTTTGCAATTATTGACTACAAGGGTTAAAAAAAAAAAAAAGCAAGTAGTAAAGCAACATAAGCTAAGGCCAGGAGCAACCCTAAGGTTTGCTCCTTCCCAAATAAAATACCTCTGGCCCAGTTTCAAGCTCTAAGTTTCTCTTGCAGTTTTCTATGCAAACACGTTGATCTCCAGTGCTGTTTGTGGGATGGGCAGCTGTGATTAGCCTTTTAGGAGGCTCATGTACACTGGCATTCTCTTGTTTTCAGTAATGTTTGTGTTCCCTAAGCTACAGTTGACTGTACAGGGGAAGACATGGATGCAATCTGTTGTTCTTAACAGTACAAGGAATTCCTCTCCATCAAGGTGCTGGGGAGGCAGAAGTTTAAAAAGAAACAGAATCAGGACAGTGTTGCATGCAACCCCTTTACCTTCCAGAACTGCCATTCTCCTCCATGGGAGGTGCTTTGATCTCTAACAGTGGCCAATTAACAGGAATGCTCCTCACCTTACTTGGGACCAAGGACTTTAATGATATTCACAGGTAGATGGGATGTATGTCACCTGTCCCCTTGATGCAAAGAGTCCAACACACACATTATTTCACAGCAAAGGAGAAAAGGGACCATTAGAAACAGCATCTTGGACAAGCATACAAAGAGGAAAATAAAAGCAGCCAAGCAGATTTCTGGCAGAGTTGCCTCAGAGCTTCTGAACAAGCCGCCACTGTTCTGTTCCACGACTGTCAGTGCATGGCATGGATTTCTCTAATTAGACTGCAACAATCCGAGCCCCCTCCTCCCCCCCTTCTGCCACCAGGGGAAGGCTCACCGCAGCAGCTGCCTCCGTGGCAGATCACAAAAGTCTGTGTATAAAAGGAAATGGAGAGACAGAGATGGACTGGTCCAGAGTTAAAACCCAGTATCATAGTATTAATCAATAATCATAGTATTAACAGTAAGAATGGTGCAGCCTAGTGGATGTAGGCCCTGTACACTGCAGACATGTCGTTGTCTGATTGGTCCAATGCTTTTGCTCGTTTATAGACCTAGAGAAGAGAGATTAGAAAAGGATCAGTGCCTGCTCTTGTACGAAGCCCTTCCCCA